GCAACCAGACACACCTGCCTCATTCCTTTCCTCTTGATCACCTAGGAGAGCTGTGGGGGCTGGGTTTTCCACCCCCTTCCTCCCTCCCATCCCAGAGAGGAGGAGAGAAGAGGTGGGGTAAATGGAGGCCTGGGGTTGAGGGGGTGCTGCCATGCCCAGCAGTGTCCACTGCAACATTAGTCCTGGCCTAACCCTCCTCTGCCTTCGAGGCTTAAGGAGGACTGAGCTGGGGGAGGGGAGACTGAAGATGAGAGGTAGAGGATCAGGACTGGGATAAGGTAGGAGCAGCCATGCAGCAAAGCATGTGTTCAGTGCAGAGAGAGGGGTGGGTAGTTGGGTGGGGCAGGAGGCTGGACCCGGAGTTGTAGGGAGGGGACATGCTTTAATGACATAAGTCAAGGTGATCTGATATGTGTTAGCCTAACTTGTGAAGCCCAGAAGCTGATGAGTTCTGGGACGAAAGTTGACGCCCACAGTTGAAAAGGGGTGTATGGGACTTGATAAGGAACCTAAATTAGGAAAATGTGGAGGTGACGGAGGGTAGGAAAATGGGGCCCAAATGGCACTGAGCTTATGCATACTGGATGAAGGGTGTGGCAGGGATCAATAAACTGATGGGAAATAGGGGAAATGGGCTGGAATAAAGTGGGAGGGTGCAGTTTAGAAGGGAGGAAGAACTTGCCAACAGCCTGGGAAGGATCGGGGGTAAGATTTGGAAATGAGGACAGAAGGTGGGTAGAGATCATTCAGAGAAGGAGAGGACATCCCCTGCCACCAACACCTTTCACCTGATGGGCGCTAGGTTACCTCCTTGCAGGAGGAAAAAGGAGGAGGAGGAAGGGAAATAACAGAATGAGGGTGGTGGACAGATTAGAAGGTAGTGGTGGGGTTAAGGGTCAGGGAGAGGCAGCCAGGCTGGGATGAGTTCAGAACGCAGGCATCCTGCTTTGCAGTCACCCAAGGTCCAGGGTAGAGGCACTCAAAGGTAGACTTGTAGTTGTAGGAGAGCCCCGGCGGGTGAGAAGCAAGTTCAGGGTCATCCCGGAGCTCCCTCTACTTCTCCTAAATTAATGTGCCCCTAGCTAGCCCCCGGCAGGGGGCCTTCCACGTTGGAGTGTGGCCAGGCTCTAGTCACAGCCCCCTTCTCTCCTCCTCCCCCCACTTCTCATGTGGTTGCCGGCAGCTGCCTGCGGTCGCCCCAGCCCCTGCGCTCAAGGCACGGGGACTTTCCAACAGGGGAAAAAATGACTTAATGAGAGTGGGAGCTGGGGGCGGGAGGGACAGGTCCCTGTAATCACCGTTCGGCTGTGGGGCCTGCGCTCCTCCGGGCCCTTCCCCGGCTTCCTGCTGCCAGCGCCTCCCTCGGGCTCTGGTGGGGGAGGAGGACAAGCTGGCGACTGGGGTATCCCTTTTCAGGTGCCAGGCTTTCAGGGGCCCCAGATGCCTTTGCTCCCTAGGCTTGCAGTGTATGGAAGCTGGGACACCCCATGATTCTTCTCTGGACCTTGTCCTGGAAGTTAGGGTTGGCGCGGAGGAGGTCTCTCCCTGGAGCCGCTAACCCCTGCTAGTGGGTTGGGGGGTATAGGATCGTGAGGAAGCCCTTTGCCACTTCGCGACTGCGCACTTTGGAATGCCCCCGGTTACTGTGGTAACCAGGGCAGCCGAGGTGTGTCCTCGGGGCTGGGAGGCGCCCGCCCCCCCCCCCTTTTCTCACCGCCCGCGGGGCCAGGCCGGGCTGCTGCGGTGCGCGGGGGTGGGGGTGTGCCGTTGCCATGGCAAGGGTGCGCAAGGAGGGCACATTCTTCCCCAGGGTGGGAGCGCCCTGGGGATACAAGAAGGGGGGTAACCGGGGCAGCAGAAAGGGGAGGGGGGTCAGAACGAGGGAGGAGTCTCGGACTAGACTAACCAGGGCTTCTGGGGTTTGGGTGGGGAGTTTGGAATCTGCCCCCACCACCCCCGCAGCTCTCCCGAGGCATCCCGCTCCTCCGCCTTTCACCCTCGCTGGGGTTCAACCTCCCCCCAACTCACGGAACCCCAGTTTCCGGGGAAGGGATCCCCGGCTACCTACCCAAAGGCCTTTGGCTTCCAAAGCCAGGCCTGCGGAGCTAAGGGGCCCGCTCCCTTCCCCCCAGTGGAGTTGCAGCCTAGACTGCTGGCCAAAGCCCTGCAATTAAGCCCCTCGCCCGCCCCTGCGCCAGGCCGGGTCTGCGCTGCCAATTACAGCAACACGCAGCAGCTGATTACCCCTGCCGGAGCCCGGGGAGCGGCCAGGGGTGGGGACAGCGGGCAGGTCAAGGGGGCGGGGTCCCTGGGGTTGTCCCTGGCCCCGGGGTCCTTCACTTGAGCTTCGGACTCTAGCCCAGCTTCTCCGCCCCAGACAATATGGGGAGAAGGGGTCTGCTCAGTACTCCATCCCGCTGTGCCTCAGTTTCTCACTCCTCCAATGCACACCGCACCCAGAGCAGAAAGAGCTCAGAGACGGTCTGTGTGGATGTTAGAACATCTGGAGTCAAGGGCTGGATTCTCAATAAGTTCAAGGCCTTAAAGTCCAGCTCTCTTTCCCGCTGCAGACTGCCGTGTGGGTCTCTTCAGGCCCTGCACCCCGCCCTGTGGACCCCTCTGGGTTATGCTGAGCCAGCCCAGGGCCACGGGTAGCCCAGACTGCACTTTGGTGGGAATCAGAAAACGTCCCCCCTGGGTGGGAGGCACCCCTCTTCTGCCCTACAGGAGAAGGCAGTCCAGGAGTCTGCAGAGCAGCGACAGTTGGAGTGCTCTGCCACCACCCTTGCCCCCTGCCGTCCCTTCTTCGCCCCTCCCTCCTCCGCCTGCGGGTCTGCAGGGGCTCGGGTAGGGCTTCGCGCCTCCCGCGGTCCAGCTGCCTACATCTGGCCGGCAGCTGGGAGCCGCCCACCGCGAACTGCTGAGGACACAGCGCCCTCTGTTGGTCAGAGGCGGCGGCGCACCAGCTTTCGGGCCTTGGGGCGCGTAGCCCCAGTTAATTGGGTGGGTCTCAACTCAGCCCCTGCCCTTTGACTTTGGGAACCAACCGTCCTCCGCCTCGCGCGGCGCCCAAATCCGACTTCACCGGCCCATTGCTTTCCGCCGGCCGCGGCCTTGCTGGCCCTCTTTCCTCCGTCCCTGTGTGCTTAAAACCCAGCTCAGCTACCTAGCTAGCTGTCCACCAACCTCCCATTTTCGACTTGTCTCGGCTTGGTCCGCAGGTTCTGCGGCACTATCTCTCCGCGCCCAACGTAAAAGTCCTTAAATAGGAACATGATTACATAAGTCACCGTCCATTTGCTCAATGGAATTCCTTGCCGCGTCCTTAAAAATGAGGCGTTTGAAGTATATTTAGTTCCTGAGACCGTGTTTGCTCTAAATGGATGGGGGGTGGAGGAGAAGATGCAAGATACAAAATAGCACAGGGCAGCGTCCCTCTTTAACTGCAAAAAATTACAGATGCGATTTGCATTTTGAAAGTCTAAAATAGACATCAAAATGCTAACAAATTATTTTTGGATGGTGGGCGTATAGGTGGCTTAAAATTTGTTCTCTGTTTATCTGCATTTTCCATCTGTCTATAATGAACGTGTGTTACTTGGGCACATTAATAATTATATATACAGATTCTTTTCTCCCAAAATGTGAGCATCAAATTATATCATTAGATTACACTAAATTTTATTTAAATTAATTTGTGTAATTTTGTTTGGGACAGGGCCTCGCCCTGCCGCCTAGGTTGGAGTGCAGTGGTGCAAATCAAGGCTTGCTGCAGCCTGGACCCCCAGAGCTCAAGCGATTCTCCCACCTCAGCCTCCTGAGTAGCTGGGACTACAGGACTACAGGCGCATGCCACCACAATCGGTTTTTCAGTGTTTTTTTTTTTTTTTTTTTTTTTTTTTTTTAAGAGGCGGAGTCTCGCTTTGTTGTTCAGGCTGTTCTCTGAACTCCTGGGCTCAAGCGATCCTCCCGCCTCCGACTCCCAAAGTGTTGGGGTTACAGAGACTGAATCACTGCCCCTGGCCAGAATACACTCAATTTTTAAAAAGATCCCGTTTAAAACTAGGAATTGGGGGACTTGGCCTCCTGACAAGAGCTAATATAATTATGTCATTGTGATTTTCTTTTTAAAACTTTAATGGTGTGTAGTAAGAAAAGGCTTCCAATCTCTGAATCCCAGGGCCCAGGGAAGTTAAGAAGTTGTTAGTTGCTTCCATGTGGAAGCCAAATCCATATGCACATTCAGTATTGTCTGTAAATGGAATAATGGGTTTACTTTCCATTGCATTGCACATGTATGAAGATGCTGCCATGATTAATAATGTAGAAAATTTGTAAATAGGTATTAAACCTTTTAAAAAATTATCTTCTTTTTGCAACATTACACATTATCAGCTGCCCTCTCCTTATATATATGGAACCCTTTGGTGTCAGTGGTTAATATTGCACTGCCTCATCCTCCTCTCACTCTCCACTGCCTCAGGGATTTCATTCACTCTTTCCTTGTCTTTTGCTTTTGAAGTAATTTCAAAGGTATAGAAAAGTTACAATGATATACAAAGAACTTCCCCCTTTCCTGAACCACTTATAAGTAAGTTGCCTCCATGATGCCTCATTACTCCCTAATATTTTAATATATATTTCCTACAAATGAGGACATGCTCCTTCATAATCTAACACAATGCTCACAATCAGGAAATTAACATCGATACATTGGTTCTATATAACCCCCAGACCTTACTGAACTTTCATCAATTGGCCCAATGCTGTCCTTTATAACCAAAGGATCCAGTCCAGGATTATTCATTGCATTTAGTTGCCGGTCTTTCCAGTCTCCCTCTGTCTGAAATGATTCCTAAGCCTTTCCTTTACTTTCATGACTGGGACAATTTAGAACAACAGTACAGTGCTATTGTAGAATGGCCCTTAATTTGGGCTTATTTGTTGTTTCCTCATGATTAGATGTAGGTTATAAAACTTTGACAGCAATATTACAGATGTTGAGTGTTTTCCTCATTACCTCATTATTTATTTTGATGCTTAAAATTTCCCAGATTTTGTCCAGCTGCCAAGCTGGTTTCTATTGCCATAATTCTTTGAGCACTTGCTTACTTTCTGTCACAGCAAGATGTTCCAGACTCATCTTGTACTTTCTCTGCCACAGCTCTGGAATCAGCCATTGCTCCAAGGGATGCTTCTTTCTTTTAATAGAGAATGATGTGTAGAAGCCAAGATCTGGGTGCTAGATGTGCTCATTGTTCTAGGAGTGTCATTGTTTCCAGACCTCTCAGTGGACAGTCCTAGAAAATATATGTATTATTATACACACATTTATGTCTTCTATCTTCTATCTATCTATCTATCTGTCTATCTATCTATCTATCTATCTATCTATCTATCTATCTATCTATCTATCTTCTGTTGATCTTTCCATGTAAAAAACAATGAGTTCACCTTTGATTCCAATCCAACACCACAGGGCTTATTTTTGTTTTCTCCTTTTCCATTTTTGTAACTTCTCTTTTTCTTCTTATCAGATTAATCCTGTGTAAGTAACTGGTTCATCATCACTGCTACTGCTCCCTCCACTCCCCTTGCAGACACTGTCTTCTTCCATCTTGGGCTTTCACAACCTATGCCAGCCCAATGTCCCCTCTGCCCCTACATGGGTGCCTTGTCTTGCTTGGCTCTACATTATGGCTTTTGAGTGAAATTATTCAAAAAGAAAGACCAGCAGGCAGGCAGGAAGACTGAAAATGGTTTCACTATTCTTGGGGCTTTTAAAATTTTATTTTATTTTATTTTATTTTATTTTATTTTTGAGACAGAATCTTGCTCTGTCCCCCAGGCTGGAGTGCAGTGGCGCAATGTCCGCTCACTGCAAGCTCTGCCTCCTGGCAGAGCTTCATACCATTCTCCTGCCTCAGCCTCCCAAGTAGCTGGGACTACAGCCGCCCACCACCACGCCTGGCTAATTTTTTTGTATTTTTAGTAGAGACAGGGTTTCACCATGTTAGCCAGAATGGTCTCGATCTCCTGACCTCGTGATCCACCAACCTCAGCCTCCCAAAGTGCTGGGATTACAGGCATGAGCCACCATGCCCCGCCTCTATTTATTTAAGACAGGGTCTCACTTTTCGCCCAGCCTGGAGTGCAGTGTTGCAAATACAGCTCATTGCAGCCTTGACTTCCTAGGTTCAAGAAATTCTCCTACCTTAGCCCCCCAAGTAGCTGAGACTACAAGTGTGCACTACCACCCTTGGCTAATTTTTGTATTTTTTTAGAGCTAGGTGTTTCGCTACGTTGCCCAGGCTGGTCTTGAACTCCTGAGCTCTAGTGATCCACCCACCTCAGCCTTCCAATGTGCTAGGATTACAGGCATGAGCCATGGTGCCTGGCCATTCTTGGAGCTTTAGATGTACTTCTCAATCCTCTCTATTCAGTAAATGGCAAATGCTCTTCCAGTTATTCCCATTAAAAAATATCCTAGAGTCATCAAACCCATTGGCAGATCATGTTAGTTCCCCATCAATTTCTATCTAAAGTCTGATCACATGTCACTTCCTCCATCATTACCTTCCTGGTCCAAGCCATCATCATCTCTTGGCTTAATTGACTACAGCTGTCTCCTAGTTGCTCCCCTTGATTCTGCCATTACACAACCCCAGTCTATTCCATACACAGCAGCCCAAGTGATCCTTCTAAAGTGTCAGTCATGCAATGTGCCTCCTCTGCTCAAAGGTCTCTAAAGTCTTCCTATCTTATGCAGCACAAGAGCCAAAGTACTTAGTACAATTAGCTGGGCGTGGTGATGTGCACCTGTAGTCCCAGCTACTCGGGAGGCTGAGGCAGGAGAATCTCTTGAACCCGGGAGGGGGAGGTTGCAGTGAGCTGAGACTTACAGGTCACCATGACTTACAAGGCTCAATAGGATTGGCTCCCTGCCACCTCTTTCACCTCATTTTCTCCTCCAACTCTCTCTCATCCACTTTACTTCAGCCACACTGGCCACCTGCAAATTCTCTGAACAATCCAAACACTGTCTTGCCTCAGGGCCTTTGCACCTCCTCCCTCTGCCTGAAATAGGTTTCCTCCAGATAACCACATGAATGCTGTTTTCCTTCATTTGGGACCTCACTGAAACATCTCCTTATGAGAGGGGCCTTGCATGGTACATCATGCCTGGAAACCCAGTGCTTTGAGAGGCTGAGGCAGGAAGATCACTTGATCCCAGGAGTTCAACTCTACAGTGAGCTATGATCAAGCCACTGTACTCCAGTCTGATTGACAGGGCAAGACCCTGTCTCAAAAAAGAAAAAAAAAAAAAAAACCCCACAAAAAATAAACATAGAAAAGAGGAGCCTTGGCAGAACATCCTGTATAACATAGCAAACTTCCTCTTACCTTTACCTTGCTTTTTCTTCATAGTATGAATCACATATTTGACCATATTTGTATATTTGTTTACTCTCTGCCTCCATGCTCTACAATGGAAACTCTATGAGAGCTGAGACTCTCTTGTTTTTTGCTGTATTTCTAATGCCAAGAATGGTATTGAGTACATAGTAGGAACTCAATAAATATAAGTGAATAAATGAATAAATAAATAAATGTCTACAGAAATGACTACTAACTTCTGTCTTCAGGCCCAATATTCCTTCCTGTGATCTTTCTTGTTTTTTCTTTTGAGACAGAGTCTCGCTCTGTCACCCAAGCTGGAGTGCAGTGGTGTGATTTCAGCTTACTGCAACCTCTGCCTCCTGGGTTCAAGTGATTCTCTTGCCTCGGCCTCCTGAGTAGCTGGTATTACAGGTGTGCACCACCATGCCGGGCTAATTTTTGTATTTTAGTAGAGACAGGGTTTCACCAGGTTGACCAGCCTGGTCTTGAATTCCTGAACTCAGGCGATCCACCCATCTTGGCCTCCCAAAGTGCTGGGATTATAGGCGTGAGCCACCACACCCGCCTCCTGTGATCTTTCTTGAAGTTCCAGCTGCCAGCTATACATGTTTTGCTGTATGTGTGTGATACCACCAACTTAAGTTTTATTTTATTTTATTTTATTTTTGAGATAGAGTCTTGCTCTGTTGCCCAGGCTGGAGTGCAATGGCACCATCTCGGCTCACTGCAACCTGACTCCTCTGCCTCCCAGGTTCAAGCTATTCTCCTGCCTCAGCCTCCTGAGTGGCTGGGATCACAGGCACCTGCCACCACGCCCAGCTCATTTTTTTGTATTTTTAGTAGAGATGGGGTTTCACCATGTTGGCCAGGCTGGTCTCGAATTTCTGACCCCAAGTGATCCGCCCACTTCAGCCTCTCAAAGTGCTGGGATTACAGGCATGAGCCACCATCCCCGGCTCAAGCTTTATTAATGCAGATTCATTATCTTATGCATCTTATTCATTATATTTGCTAAGGGCTGAGACTTTGTTTTATTTACTGCTCTTTTCTCAATGCCTAGCAGTGCTTGGCATAGATCAGGCATTTAATATTTGTTGAATAAATGAATGAATGACTTTCCCCTCCAAACCAGTTCTCCTTAACTTGCTTGTTCCTCTTTGTCACGTCATCACTTTCTTAGTCACTGAGCCTCAAAAGTGCTATAAACTTGGACTCTCACCTTCTTTTCTCTTTTCTATATTCAATCAATGACCAAGATCTGCTTATTCTTCTACTTCATTCACACGGTCAATATCCTAGTTCACCACACACCTCAAACATCACAACGGCCTTCCTACTAGCCTCTCTCATTCCTCTTTCTTCCTCTTCAATCCATCCCTATCTTATTGTTCTGTTTTTCTCTCCCACAAAGTGCTCTGATCATGTCATTTCCTCTGACTAAAGCTCTCAATGGATCTTTGTACCAATTTGGGTTCTTAATTGCAAACAACAGAAACAGACCCTGGTTCACTTTAGTAGTAGAGGAATTTACTGGGATGACATCAGGGAACTCACAGAATTGACAGGAAGCCTCAAGACCAGGCTCAGGAAGCAAGCAGGAGCCAAGAGAAGCTAGGCAGCTAGAACTTTAGTTAAATCCTGTCCCAAGTGCAGCCTGATTAAGGGGCTATAGCCCCTGGGCTTGGGGGCTGCTTCCCACATAGCTACCACCACCCTGAGCACTGGCTGCTGCCGCCTCTGGGGTGAATTATAAACAGTCCTGTTCCTCCTTGGGTCACTTACTGAAGATTTAGAGTCCTGATTGGGAGCATTGATTTGGCTATGATCTTCCTGCCAGGGGCCAGGGGAGCAAGTATCTGACTTCTCACTAAGACTCATATTAGAGAGACTCCACCAGCATATGAAGGGGGCTCAGATGCTGGGCAGCTAAAGACTCCAGTGTGTATCCATATGCAGGTTCCTCAGCACTGAAGCCCTCCACCATCTGCCATAAACGGCCATCTCCAGTTTTTTCTCACTTGCGCACCATGTTCCACTGAAGCTTGACTGTGCAGTTTCCTGATCTGTCCCTTCCTGCCTCGGCCCCTGTAATAGCTGGGCCCCAGAGATGGTCCCCCGTGAATCATGCTTCACACTTGTGTATGGTCCCCTCTCCTTGAAAGGGTCAGTCCATGCTTCCTTTTCACTGAGCATGCTGTGGAAGCGAAGCTGCATGACTGCCGAAGAGAGGGAAGGGGAAACTTTGCAGTTTTTGCCTCAGTCTCTAGGAATGTTCACTCTGGGGCAAGTCAGCCACCATGTATGAGGTCTGTCTACCCTGAGACCACCATGCTATGAGGAACCCGAAACAAGCCACATGGGTAGGCTGTATGGAGAGAGAGTAATGCCTGGGCAGGCCCTACCAGTTCCAGATGAGGTGCCAGACATGTGACTTTAAAAAGTCATTTTGGGGCTGGGCTCAGTGGTTCACACCTATAATCTCAGTGCTTTGGGAGGCCGAGGCAGGCAGATAACTTGAGGCCAGGAGTTCAAGACCATCCTGGCCAACATGGTGAAACCCCATCTCTATCCAAAATACAAAAAATTAGCCGGACATGGTGGCACATGACTGTAGTCCCAGCTCAGGAGGCTGAGGCATGAGAATCACTGGAACCTTGGAGGTGGGAGTTGCAGTGGCTGAGATTGCACCAATGCACTCTAGCCTGGGTGACAAAGTGAGGCTCTGTCTCAAAAAAAAAAAAAAAAAAAAGTCATCTTGGATATCCAGCCGAGTTGAGCCTTCATTCAGATGACTCCAGTCTTAGCTACCATCTGACTGAACTGCTTGAGAGACCCCACGTGAGAACTGCCCAGTTGATTGCAGTCAACCCACAGGACTGTGGGATGTAAATGGTTATTTTAAGCCACTGAATTTTGGAGTGGTTTGTTACTCAGTAATAGGAAATGGAAACAGCCCCTCTGTGGTCCATGTGTCCCTCTCTCTGGAATGTACCCTAACTGTCCTGTCTTAGCTCCATGTCCACTCATATCTGCTCTTGTCAAAATCCTTCCAGGGAGCGTGGCACAGTGCAGAGGAAAGAGCCAGGCTTTGGGGTCAGTCTGTGCGGCGGGAGGGGTTGAATCCTAGTTTAGTCTCTCACTATCCCTGTGACCTAAAGCAAAGTCATTAAGTTCTCTGGACCTCAGTCTCTGTATCTGCTATATTGAAATAGAAACACCGATCTGCTGAAGTTGTTTTGAGGACTAGATGTAATACATGTAAAGTACCTAGACATCTCACCCATTTTAGTCTTACTGAATGGTGGTCCTTAGCAGACACTTAGCCTTCTAGCCTTGCATCAAATGGCACTTCTGAGGTCTAATTCTCATCACTTATAAATTATATGGTTTTGGAAAATTCCTTAAATTTCTCTGAGCCTTACTCTTCTCATGTGTAACACACCTAGACCCTTAAGCCATGTCCCTTAACCAGCATGGCATCAGAAATCCTTGGAAAAGGAAGTAAACCATGGCCACAGTTGGGGTTCCCCGGTATCTGGTGGGCTGGGGGACTGTAGTGGATGGCAGACTGCAGGGGAGGAACAGCAGAGGCCTGAGAGCTCATCACCCTGAGTGAGAAAAAAGTTTCACTGGATGGGGAAGGGGTCCGCCAAACAGGGCAGAGGGAGGAGTGCTATTTGGAATGTTGTGAGGCTGGGCATGACCATTGGGGCTCAGTTTACCTCCACCCTCACTCCCTCAGGCCTCAGGCCTTCCTGGTGGAAAGGGAAAGATTTGGGGTATATGGCAAGAACAGGCTCACCAGGACATAGACATCTCTGCTGTGGGAACTCCTTATGAAAGAGCTGAGAATGAGAAACAGAATATGCTTTCCCACCTCAGTGAGAGAGAGATGTCAGAGAACCATGGGCCACGGGGCAGGCAGAGAGGCAGCAGGTGACGGTGAGATGAGTGGCATTTGGCAGCAGCCCTGACCATGTGGGGAGCAACCCCACCTGGCTTCTTCTCAGACTGTCACTGAAGGTGAGGGCACATGGAGATCTGGGAAGTTCCAGAAGAGCGCACACTGTATGATCCCAGTGGCATCTGCAAAAACAGGCAAAGTTAACTTATGCAGTTGGAAGGCAGGATAGTGGCCCGGTGCAGTAGCCTGTAATTCCAGCCCAGGAGGTCGAAGCTACAGTGAGCTATGATCATGCCACTGCACTTCAGCTTGGGTGACAAAGCGAGACCCCATCTCCAAAAAATAACATAACATAACATAACATAACATAACATAACATAACATAACATTAGAAAGGCATGATAGTGGTTATCCCTGCAGGGGATGCAGTGAATAGAGGGAAACAGGAGAAGGGTTTAGGGAGCTGATAATGATTTGTTTCTTCCTCAGGGACCTGATTACACTACTCTGTTCATTGTGTTAAAAGTTAAGTGCACGTAGGATTTGTATATTTTTCTGTACGTTACTTCAATAACAAGTCAAGGCCGGGTGCAGTGGCTCACGCCTGTAATCCCAGCTTTTTGGGAGGCCGAGGCAGGCGGATCATGAGGTCAGGAGATCGAGACCATCCTGGCTAACACGATGAAACCCCATCTCTACTAAAAATACAAAAAATTAGCCGGGTGTGGTGGTGGGTGCCTGTAGTCCCAGCTACTTGGGAGGCTGAGGCAAGAGAATGGTGTAAACCCAGGAGGAAGAGCTTGCAGTGAGCCGAGATTGTGCCACTGCACTCCAGCCTGGGCGACAGAGCGAGACTCTGCCTCAAAAACAAAAACAAAAGCAAGTTAAAATACACGCATATGCACACACACACAGCTGTTTTGGGAAGAAGAACAGTCATTCCCCAGTTCAAGCCCTTTGAAGTGGCACCACATAGTGAAGTGGGTAAGAGATTAGGGGGCTGGCTAGGTGCAGTGGCTAATGCCTGTAATCCCAGCACTTTTTGGGAGGCCGAGGCGGGCGGATCACCCGAGGTCAGGAGTTAGAGACCAGCCTGGCCAACATGGTGAAACCCCACCTGTACTAAAAAAACCACAAAAAAATTAGCTGGGCATGGTAGTGAGTGCCTGTAATCCCAGCTACCCGGGAGACTGGGGCAGGAAAATCGCCTGAACCCGGCAGGCAAAGATTGCAGTAAGCCGAGATCACGCCACTGCACTCCAGACTGGGCAACAAAAGCGAAAACTCCGTCTCAAAAATAAATAAATAAGATTAGGGAACTGGAGGCAAGGACCACATGCTGTCTGGCCAGACTCTACATTTCTTCCTCCATTCATTCACCATTCACTCTGGTTTATTAAGCACCTCCTGCTCCTTGAACACTGTACAACACGTGAGAGGATAAAAGATTATCAATAGCAGCAATTTCCATTTATTGAGAGCTTACTATGGAGTAGGCACTGAACCCTCACGATAATCCTGTGAAGTATTATTATTAACCCCATCAGTTGAAGAAAAATGAGCCCCAGAAAGGTTAAGCAAGTCGTTTAAGGTCACAGAACAAAGAAGGTGCCTGGATTTTCCTATGCACCTGTATCTGTGTGGACCCAAAGCCCCAGCACTTCACAATGAGCTCCAGCGTCCCCTAGAAATCTAGGGACCGAAGGACCTGTTGACAAACTGCTCTACGATAGTAATGAGGCCTTAGAGCTGCAGCCAGACTGACTTCGAGTTTTGGCCGCATCCTTTTCTGTGATCCTCGGCAGGTTCCTTCACTCTTTTGAGCCTCACTTTCCCCATTTGTATAAAGAGGGTAAAAAACCATGCCTTTCTCTCGGAGTTATTGTGGGTATCCATTGAGAAGACGTGTGTGGAGCCAGGTGTCTGGCACCCAGTGAGAGCCCAGAACGGTCATTAGGACGTCTGAGTCTTTATCACTCGTGCGCAGCACAGCACGACCCTGAGCACAGGGTTGAAGGCGGTTCCCGGCGCCTAGCCTCTCGATAGGAACCTTTAGGGACGGGTGGACTTAAAGGAGCCGGTGGGCCTTAAGAGTCCAGCCGATGCTGCCACATAACGGGCCTGGGGAAAAGCCCAGATCCCAAGTGCTAACAGAGCAGCCGACCTCAGCCGACCTGAACCAAACCGCGGGCGAGGCTGCTCAGGGTCAGCGCCAGCGAGGAAAGACGTGCTATCGCGAGATCTGTAGGACCCACGCGTTTACAAGCCGGAAGTGAGGGGCGGGCCTAATGCGGCGCGCTCCTTTTGAAACCTGAGACTGAGACCTGCGGAGGGCGAGGGCGGGTTGGAGGTCGCTGTCCTTTCTGGGAACCGAGCAGGGGTCGCAGGAGGGCGGGGATGGGTCAGCGGTCCCCTCTGAGTGGGGTTTGGCTGGGAGAGGCCACCTTCATCTTTGGGAAACTACCCTGGGCCGGCCACACGCCGTGAGCCAGACTGGCAAGGCCCCTCCGCCTCCACTGTGCTCCTCGACCCGAGAAACTCAGCTTAGCCCGAGCCTCCCAGCAACCTCCCTTTGGCTCCGCCTTTTAAAGGGCCTTTACGGTAAATAACCCCGACGCTTAGCGGGGCTGCTGCTTCTGGGCCCTCAAACTTACCCAGGCCCCTTCCATGGCCATGCAAGAGGGAGGTCTTAACAATGTGCTCACACGATCATGGTTTAAAAAATATATGTAAGTAACAAAACTAAGATATTTTAAACCAAATCTGTTCTTAACAGATTTAATGATTTTAACTTAACAGGTTTAAAGAGACCACTGTCTTTTTCCACTGTGACCGCCTATCTGAAGGCATTGGAGTGGCTGTGGGCAGTTTTAGGCATTTTGGAGTAGGGAATACACTGAGTTTGAGTTTATGTGGCTCCTGTGTATACTTACGTTTTTGCTAGGCTTCCAGGAATACCCCTAAGTCCCTACTGTGCTGAATTACAAGCACAGTGACCTGAGTGTTTCAGAAGTCTTGGTCATAGATGTCCAGCATCAAAAAAATGGGGAGATACATTGGTCACAGTATAAGGTAATGTGAAGTTCCTTGATCGCTTATGGCTCATAACAAAAGGCTTGGTAGTTTCCCAAGTTTGACAACCATCCTAAAATAAGGAGTTGGAAAACTGGATCTTTTCTAAGCTAGCAGCGATAGCAAATTTTGATCCACCATTAGGGAGAGGAATGACTCAATTATCTTCCTTTTCTCTTCATAGAATGACAAAAATGTTGTTAAAGAGGCCATGAAAGAATACACAGCCAAAAAATGTGGTGAGAAAGTGCTTAGTGATATGCCAGGCAGTTAATTTAACAAATAGTGTTATTTTCAATTTTTTGTGTGTGATGTTTTTGGTATGAGCTTTTTCAATTTTGTAGAGTGATGTAATTTCTTTTCTCGTTTTAAATATTTATATTTGTACCTACTTTTGTATTTTAAATTTTCTATTCTTTTTCTTAACGAATACCATGAGATTATATAAGCTCAGGCCCCCAAATCTACATCTGCCCTTGCATGGTTGTTATCCCCTCGTAACCACTCTGCTCAGGGCAGGGCATGTGTTTATTGTCCTAATTTTTGAGATGAGGAGATGGAAGCCCAGAGAGGTCAAGTCTCTTACCCAAGCCCAGAGAGGTCAAGTCTCTTTGCTGCTGAGACCAGCAGAACTAGAACTAGAACCCAGATCTTTTGGTTCAGTTCAGACGTCTGGTCACACCAGAGAAGTGTCCTAATCTAAAACATTTCGCCATCTTCAGGGAGTGGAGTTGAAGTGCGTCTGCTTGGCCTGCCGTTGGGTTCTGGATTGTACCTAGCCCACTGAAGCTAAAAGGGAACGAATTATGTTTCTGAAGTGCCTCCCAAATCTCAGATGATGGCAGCCTACTCTGTGTTCTCCCACCCACCTCTCCCCCAGCAATGAAAGAAGGCTAGCATCTGGTAGGAGACAACCGCTGATGAACTTCAGCCATGGGACCTCTCTTTGTGTCAGGGTGGGAAGTATGGAATCCTTGAACAGAAACAGAATCCGCTGGTGAACCGGCTGTGTGTGAATATGCATGGGAACATGTCTTTGTTATTTCTCAAGCCAAATGTATTTTTGGTCTGTTTCCCTGGAGACTTATAGGGAATAGGGAGAGGCCTTATCAAGTGTAGTATAATTTTGCCAGTCCCACTTCCTTTCCAATTCCCCAAATTAGTCACCCCATCTCTCCACCTGGACTGATTTTTCCAAGGTCACTAACAACTTCTTTTTTGTTAAATCCAACTTTTCAATCTTTATCTTTAATCAGGTCTCCCTGCTGCCTGTGTTCTGCACCCAGGCTGGAGTGCAGTGGCACGATCTCAGTTCACTGCAACCTCTGCCTCCCAGGCTCAAGCGATCCTTCCACTTCTGCCTTCCTAGTAGCTGGAACTGCAGGCTCGTGCCACCATGCCCGGCTAATTTTTTGTATTTTTTGTAGAGATGGGGGTTTCACTATGTTGCCCTGGCTGGTCTTGAACTCCTGAGCTCAAGTGATCCTCCCACCTTAGCCTCCCAAGGTACTGGTATTACAAGTAAGCCAACGTACCTGGCCTCCCAGTGGTTTTTTCAAATGTAAATCTGATCCACCTCCACTTAAAAATTCATCATTGCTCCTCATTGCTTTTATGATAAAGACTCAGTTGAACCCAGTCATCTCCAGTGTAGTCCCAGTCACTCATATTGATCTTTCCTTTCTCCCACGGGCCATCCATCTCCCTGACACAAGACTTTTGCACATGGTCCTTTTATTTATACCTACTATTTCCAGACATTGTTTTGGTGCTGGGGATACGATGGTGAACAAAGCAGGCAAAAATTCCTGCCATTCTAGAGTTCACTTTCTCGTGGTTGCTTTTTGGTTGGAATGTTCTTGACCTTTTTGTTTTGTTTTGTTTTTGTGGTTTTTTTGTTTGCTTTTTCGTAGGAGGGAGTTTAGGATTTATTTATTTTAGAATAACAGCTTTATTGAGATATAATGCACACACCTTAAAACTCATAAAATTCACCCATTTAAAATGTGCAGTTCAATTTAGGATATTCAGAGTTGTAGACCAGGCATGGTGGCTCACATCTGTAATTCTAGCTCTTTGGGAGGCCGAGGTGGGTGGATCACTTGAGGTCAGGAGTTTGAAACCAGCCTGGCCAACATGGTGAATCCCCGTCTCTACT